AAATAAATGATGACATTGAACCAACCAGCTATACTAAGGCTGTTTCTTGTGCTGATTCTTCAAAATGGCTAGTGGCTATGAATGAAGAAATTGAAAGTCTTCATAAGAATGGTACTTGGACTTTAACAGAGCTTTCCAAAGGCAAACGACCTTTGAAATGCAAATGGGTCTATAAGAAGAAAGACGACATTCCCGAGGTTGAAGATCCTAGATGCAAGGCACGATTGGTTGTTAAAGGCTTCAGTCAAAAGGAAGGTATTGACTTTAATGAGATTTTCTCACCTATTGTTCGTCATACCTCCATATGTGTTTTTCTTGCTTTTGTTGCTTTATTTGACTTGAAATTGGAGCAACTTGATGTTAAGACAGCCTTTCTGCATGGAGAGCTGGAAGAGAAAATTTATATGGAGCAACCTGAGGGATTTATTGTTCCTGGTAAGGAGCATCTTGTCTGCCGATTGAAGAAATCTTTATATGGACTCAAACAAGTTCCGAGACAATGGTACAAAAGGTTTGATTCCTTTATGATTGGGCAAGGTTATTGCAGAAGTCAATATGACGATTGTATTTATTTTCAAATACTTCCTGATGGATCTTACATATACTTGTTACTATATGTTGATGATATGTTGATTGCATCACGTGACAAGTCTCTGATCAGGAAATTGAAAACTCAACTCAATAATGAGTTTGAGATGAAAGAATTGGGTGCAGCTAAGAAGATTCTTGGTATAGAGATTTGTAGGGATTGTCAAACTGGTAAATTGTTCCTATCTCAACAAAAATACGTTGAGAAAGTGCTTGACAGGTTTAATATGTCTAATTGCAAACCTGTTTCTACTCCACTTGCTGCACATTTCAAGTTATCATCTGACCTTTGTCCTGAGACAGAGGAAGACATGGAGCGTATGTCACGCGTTCCTTATGTTAGTGCTGTTGGCAGTCTTATGTATGTTATGGTATGCATTAGACTTGATTTAGCATATGCCGTTAGCATGGTGAGTCGGTATATGCATAATTCTGGAAAGGATCATTGGAGTACTGTAAAATGGATTTTTCGGTATCTAAAAGGTACTTCTAATATTAGCTTGATATTTGATAGAAATCATGCAACAATTGAAGTTACAAGTTTTGTTGATTTGGATAATGGTGGCGATCTTGACAAAAGAAAATCTCTTTCTAGTTACATATTTATTCTCTGTAATTGTGCTATTAGTTGGAAAGCTCAGCTTTAGTCACTTCCATCATTATCTACGACCGAAGCTGAATATGTTGCAGCAACAGAAGGTGTGAAAGAGGCTCTTTGGCTTAAAGGTCTGATCAATGAACTTGGTCTTACACAGGATGTTCTTACTATGTTTTGTGATAGTTAGAGTGCTATTTACTTGACCAAGAATAACCGTTACCATGACAGAACAAAACATATTGATGTAAGACATCATTTTATCCGAGAAATTGTTGCTAAGGGTGAAGTCGTGGTTCAGAAGATTCATACATCTGAGCATTCAGCTGAAATGCTTACTAAGCCTCTTCCAAAGGCCAAGTTTCAGCATTGCTTAGACTTGGTTGGTCTCTACAGCACTTGAACGCCTTTTGGGGTTTAAACGACGTCGAGCAATTTATCAAAACTGATCCAAGGTGGAGATTGTTAGTCAAAATTTGTAGGCACCCCTAATTTGTGGCTCAGTTTTTCAATTGGCACTGACAAACATTTAATTTATGTAGGCACCGCCCGAAAATGCATCGAATTGTCAAAATTTGCTACAGTAAATTACTGTAGCAATGTTGAAATTTTGAAAAGTTACTGTAGCAGTTTTTTTGCCTATAAAAGGCAACGAATTAACGAAGGGAGCGATGCACATCATTCACGGATCTGTGAGAAAAAATACTGAGAGAAAATTAAGAGTGTTATTTTGTAACTCTTATTCCATTTTGAGAGAGTATTTATTGAGAGAAAAAAAATAGAGAGATTTATTACTCTTTATCCTCATAATTTTAGAGGACTTCTTTTACTCTTCCTTTTACATAGTGAAATTATTTTACTCGTCGTCGTCTGTGGATTTTTTTTCCGATTTGGAGTTTTTCCCACGTTAAAATCTTGTCTCCATTATTCTTTTCCTTCTCTTTGTTTCCAATTAAATTCGATCCAGTCTTCTGCATTGCTTTGATACTCCAACAAATGGTACTCTTGCTCGTATATAGAAAGTCTATTCATCATTGTGAGTCTCACATATTTGTCAGGTAATACAAAAGTGAAAGTGTATCACATTAGACCTACTAGAGCCACGTTGTCATATTTGAAAGCCAAAATCCAACCTGCACTTCTGAACCAGCAAATTGAGCAATGCTATTGTATCCTTGCATAATTTCATATTTGAAGCCACATGACACTAGGAAAATAATACCTAATGACTCCCTGAGAGCATATAACAGATCATACAAACAATGTTTGCCTTTACACTAACTAGGCCTGTTCAAACAACTATTTCAAATTGAACCAAACTGGTGATTGAACTGAATTGTTGATTAAAAAACCAAAAAGAAACTGAATCAGAACGGTATATATTTGGTGTAGTTCAAGAATCGAACTGCTTTTTAAATAAAGTTTGGTTCACCTCAAAAAAACCTATTAACAATTCACTCTCATTCATTTTTTTTTTCCCTTTTCTTTCGGTTCGCTAATCTCTTATTCTCTATAGTTCTGCTAACTAATCTCAATTGAACTCTAATCTCTTAAGTTTGCACCAAATTGTTTGAATAGAGCAGATATGTATTACGAATCCCTATTTTGCCTACTGTATATACTACAAGATTCATTGAAATGTGATAGTAAATACTGCGTGATGCACAGGAATGTTCATACAGTCCAAGGAAAAAGCAAAACTCAAGCATATTACACTAGAAACAGAACAGAACCCAAGTTCTGTTGGTAATGGCAGCTGATTTAGAGAAAAAAAAAAAACACCTCTTAAAGATAGATAATTTCCACTTTCTTATTATAATATGAGAGTGCCAAAAATGCCTCTCAGCCCAACAATGGTCTAATTGTAATTTGTAAACATAACTTTGAGTAAAATTAGTGTCAAGGATACACAAAAAGGCTAAAATTGGTGTTAATGGTGTAATTATAAGTCTTCTAATTTTGATTCACTTGAGCATATATACTTTCCTAAACTGCATTTTAGGACAATTCTGTGAAACCTAATTAAAAATTGACCCAAACAACTCTCTTTTTTAAAAAAATAATAGAGTGTGATAGAAAAAATGTATTAAAAAGTGTATCTGAGAATTGTGTAATATATGACAATATATGCTTTTACTCGGGTTACTATTTTTATTTTGCTAATACAGAGCAATATACACCACAACCAAACAACAATACACTTAATTTTACTTGTTACAGAGGTAGAGGCACTAGCTACTACTATATTGTTTCATATATCAGAGGGGAAACTCTAATAAGTATTCCATCCTCATAAAGTAGCAATCCCACATAAAGATAAGATAGGCTTATTTTATGTATATATAGAACTGGGCAGCATGCAAGTGCAGTGCAGGGATACATACATAGCCATTGGGACTGTATTACTAAAACTGATGAATGTGGTTGGTAGTGTGGTCATTCCTCATGAGACCATTCAGTGCAGAATCGAATGACATATCGGTGGTGCTATAACCTCCGTCCAATACAAAGTTAACTCCATTAACGTACTTGGCCTCGTCGCTACTCAAATAAAGCGCTGCACTTGCTATGTCCTCAACCACAAGAACTGCACCTTTTAACACTGCAACGGAAGATAACATTTCCTATATTTCCTTCTTTTTCATCTTCAATGCATTGTTTAGCAGCAGAGTGGGGATGCCACCGGGGCAAATGCAACGTCTGACGGTGAGCAATTTCTAAGGTAATTTTTTTTTTTTAAGAATTTTATCAAGCGTAGAATTGAGTTTAAGTATCTATAAATAAAAAGTTATTATAAAAATATATATAATTATAATATTAAAGTTATAAAAATATAATAAATATTTTTTAATAAATTTTTACTATTATTAATTGTTTATCTTCAATTTTAAGAACTGGGATTATCAAAAAAATATTAAAATAAAAAGAATTATGTTAAATTCTCTTAAATTTTAATTATTTTGTGCTTAATATTTTTCTTTCTTTTTTTATCCTAAACAAATTTTCTTAATTTATATTGCATTACATTTAATATCTTTCTTATTAACACAAACTTCCCTTGATTTATTAATTAAGGAAAGTCAATATAGGTCAAGTAAAGAATATTGGATATAAATAATTTGACCAAAATTTAGTGGTATACATCAATGTGTAAATATATATATATATATATATATATATATATATATATATACAGTTTAATTTATTTTTTGAAAATTTATAAATGACTTTTTAAAAAAAATTGCATAAAAAATACATGTAATTTGATTGATCTAGTGTTCACATATGGAGCCTTTTTGGTTTCTCTCCGTTTATTTTGTAAAAATTAAGTGATTTTGTCTTCATCATGAGTAGCGGATGCATCGCCCCCTCTTGTTTCTGTTTCCTTTCTTGGCGAATTCTGTTACCTAATTGCAAACATTTGCTTAATATAGTTTTAAAATGCTCACTCGCAATGGGGACTAACTGGTAAGTAAATTTGACTTCAATCGTTGTGGCATTTTCAGCGTTGAAAATTTGAGCTATAAGAAAGTTCATCTGGGAAAGAATACAGGCAATCTCAACCAGTATTTAATTTTCTAAGGTTAGCTGTGGTTTGCCTTGCAATGGGAGTGGTTGATAGTGATGAATTCATGATATTTGTTTTGAAAAATATAATTTTTAATTTATTTTTCAATATTAATTATAAAAATGTCATTATTTTCATTTTATTGTGCATTTTTAAAGGTTATTATAAAAATAAAAAATATAAAAAATATATAATTAATTTTTTTTTCAAAATAAACAAGTATTGTCCATGCCATATGAAGATTTATCTCTAGCCATATATTAATGGTGGGGAAGTTTTCGGATACATCAAGATTGAAGTTCACCAACTCATTCCCAAAAACATGCCTCCTCACAGATCCCTTTCTTGAGACATGGGATGCTGAATTGCTAATCAATTCTAAAGATAAAACCCATATCATCTTAAACTTCCTGGATTTCTGTTCCAAGACAAGTATGATGGATCCCCTAGTGGTCTGCATATACAGCAATATATCAATGTCAGCTTGGAAGTTCTAAATAGTCATACAGATTATCCATCACAATATACAACAGTGATTAGATTTTCCCCTCTAAAAATATTACAATCTTCAAGAGATAACAATATATTCAATTTATAATTATAAGAGAAGAAAAGCCAAATCTTGGTGGAAAGAAAGGGGATTCAAACAAATCCTCCATCAAAGTCATTATCTGCTGGGTACAGTTGTCAAACTTTGCTTAAACAGTTCAAGATAAACATTCAGATTTTTATTTTCTTTTATGGTCATAAGTGGAACCATATAAAGCAATATAAGTAAACCCATCTTAAAAACAATCATAATGAATTTGCCAATGTCTTTACTCATAAAAATAATGACAGAAGCATAAGTATAGGAGAGGAGAATATCTTGCACATCCTCACCTTGGCTGAGTCACATAGAGAAGAAGGAAACCTATAGCCAATAACAAGGAAACCGCGCCAATGAAAATATATGCCATTCCCAAGAAGTTATTTCTTCCACCAATCCAAGTAGTGGTTGAAAGAATCATGCTTTTTCTGCCTCCAAACTCATATGTATTATAATTGTTCTCTATCACGATAGATATTTCTTCATTAACTTCAATGTCAGTTTCAATCTTCCCATATAATTTTCTGAAAGTAGGCAATGCTGCTGCTCTCATCCAAACAATGAGATCCTCTTGTTCACTCAACTGGTGCATGCCACATGTTGACAAAGATTAGTGTCTCAATATCAAAAAGTAAAGAAAATTTTTGTCACAAAAGTGAACATTATACTTACAGGTATGCTCTCATTGAGTCTAGCACCCCCAACCAAACCTCCAGCCTGAAAATTCTTTGGATAAACATCAGACCCGAATTTTGCCGATTTGTCACTCTTCCATGCTATGTTCTTTTTGTTGATCTCCAAATCCTTGTCATTGTTTGAGAGTTTGTATGTGTCATTGAACAGACTCCACGCAATAAGGCCACAAGGAACAATTGGTTGATGGCCATTTGTTGTATAGTCTTCCGGACTACATGTGCTTACTTCATTTTCATATGCCTTATTTCTCAGTTGTTTAGCATCTCTACTTTTAACATATCTGCAAATGTCATTCAAGATCCGGGTAGGGAAAATCATTTCAACATTCAGCATTGAATTATTTTCTATACTATAATCTTATTTATTAAGTTTTGTACAAAATGAGAAAAAACAAAACATCAATAAAAGTTCATGAAAATGAAGATCCTCTCAAGTCATATATGTAATCCTGATATGCAAGAAGGGACAAGGAAGACAAAACATGTGAGAACAAGAATATAGAAGAGATCCTTCTACTAAAAAAAACAGAATGAAATGCTAAATCCAATGCACACTGATGCATAGAGAGACAGAGGAGAAAAACATATTGATATTTAATTGCACATACCGGCGATGGTTTTGGTAAAAGTTATCAAGCTGATAATAGACATAAATAGGGGCTTTCATTTTATTCTTAACCTGCAAAATATGCAGCCTAAATTATCATTACATATCAAACAAGGAGAAACAAATTCTGCCAAAGCAATGTAGAACTTTATTTTCAATGATGAGCAATTGTACTAACAGTTAATTTTCCCATGCAAGTTTTGTTTGATCCGTCGTCTTTAATATATGCCACTGCATTATTTTTATAATTAGGTGGAATGCATTCATCATCATATCGGAATGGAACTTCCACAACCTGCATCAGAAAATTTTGTTCAATACACAATCAACTTGAGTACCAAAATTGCATTTGATACTATGTTATGTGTAGGGAAACAATTTCTTACACTCTCAGATGCAAACAATGATGCAAGGCCAACAGGAATGAAGACCAGTCCAATAACAGTAAATATTGAAATGACCTGAAAGACAAAGATAAAATAGCCATGAAAACAGCTTTATTAGACAAAAACTGTTGTATACTATGATTCTGTTTGAAAACAAATAGTTATGTTGGAAGCTATACCCAACCAGGTGTTAGAATTGGTTGCCATGCAGGGAGTTCTTGTTGGGAGAATTTGGAATCTATCACAAATAAAAAATCTCATGAGTTACATGGTTAAATAATTGCTATAGAAGATAACAGAAAGACAATACGAAAACTATGAACAATTATTATAACAACCTCAAGTCCTCCGGATTTGAATAATTGAGAAACAAAAGAACAGCAAAAGTATAAGAAAAATAGCACTCTGGAAAAGGTAAACATTAGAAACTCCACATCCCACAATACTTTGTTTAGCAAAGACACCACAAGACAATAATTGATCATGATTATTCTCGTAATGCAATGTGTGGTAGATATATATCATCAAACTATTACATCAACAGAATTCAAACAATAGATGATATCCTTTATATTTATTGAGACAGATACTAGGGATAGAGATGTATATATGACAATACCATCGAATGATGACCCCCATCTAAACACCATGGTTAATGAGATTCAAGCATTCTTCAGAAACATGAATGAACCAAAGTTTTGCAAAATCATAGCCTCTTAATTAGCAAGGTTAAGGACATTTCAGGGAGCTCAAAGAAATTCACCTATTGTAAAAGGCAAAAATTAATAAATAAACAGGCTATAAGAAAGAAGAACTTACAATTGGGTTTCCTGGAATGCTTGGATTGTCCATCTGTTACGGCCACCGAGGTGGATGAAGATTCTGAAGACATAGCCAAGAAACCCAACGTGACAAAAAACACAGCAATTAGGAAAATGTGATTAAAAATAACATGCAAAAAACCAAAGTGGGAGATTTTGGAAGCTAAAAAAATGGCACAAAGCTTGTCCTTTAATTTATTCCCCTCGCTCTCTCTCTCTAAATCTATATTTACATTCATAATATTTAGGTATGTATGTTGTGTCTACCTGTCTGTTAAGGTTTGATTTTTGAGGAAAGTGGTGACAACTTTTGAATGTCAAAGCACCACACGTTGTGCTTATCACATTCACATTTTGGTTTTGATAGTAGTAGAACTGTGAGGTGCCTTTTTCACAAGTGCAACTACCAGTCATCAATCTATATATCTTCTCTCTCCCTAGCTATCAAGTCCTGAAACTGAAGACCATGCACTTAATTATCCTAAATGCCATTTTTTTTATAACTTCAGGAGACTACTTTTCTTTTTAATTTTGTAAATGTACTTTTAAGATGTAAATATATAAATAAGATAAAAAATAGGAAAAAATAAAAATAATTATAAACAATATTATATATAGGGTGAATTTTTAGTCATACAAAACTTGCCTCAATACTCACAAATACTAGCTCTACCCTATCTAAGGTTAAAAACTTATACTAAGTTGGCTGATTTTTATTTTTATTTTTTCATTTTGGAGAGAGTTAGGAAAAAAATTTATTATTAAGCTTAATAATGAAATTAGGCTAATCAACAAATTTAATAATAATAAACTTAGGATGTTTAGGCTTTGTTAGATGGGTTGATTTCGTGAAGAAAAAAAATTGATAGGAATGATTTTGTATAGAATTTTTTTAAAAAAATTTGGATGTATTGTCTTTTTGTAAAAGGAAAGAAAACAAATACGGTGACTACAAAAAATAAAATAAAATCATATCTTCCTACCTATAAAATGAATAATAAAAAAGGGAGCTGTATGTTTTTTCTTTAGTTTATTATAATATCATATAATTTTAAAAATATATAAAAATAATAAAAAATAGAAACATTAAGCAAAGCATTATATTAAAAGTTTTAAATTTTTATTAAATTTAAGTTTATATTATTATTACAACTTTATTCAATTTACTTATTTCTTTTCTCTACTCATTCAAACAAAAGAAAAGATTTTCTTTTCATCTCATTCTATTTTACTTCTACTCATCCAAACAAGATAGCTATTTTATTCTATTTCTATTAAAAATTTACCCTCTTATTTCTTTCTTCTTTATTTCTTTTCTTTTTATTTTATCTGTCATCCGAATATATCATTAGAATATGTTTAGTGAATATGATATGATAAGATAGGATATAATATAAAGATTGAATAAGATCATAAAAAACAAAATAAGCTCTCGTTGATGCATACCAAAATTATGAATTAGATGTTTTATATTATTTTATTATGTTCATTTCCAATCCAGACCTTTTATAGGATAAAATTTATACTAAAAATATGATAAATTTATGGGACATTTTTAAACTACTGGGATGACTGGAAATTTTTTAAGCTTTTTATATATGAATTTGGAACGAATTATATTTCTGATATGTAGAAAAGTTGTTAAAATATTATTTAATCTTGTTTATTATTTGATGTAAAATTAATTTAAAAGCTTTGATTGTTTTTATAAAAACTATTTTTTAAAATTTAAATAAAATTTTTAAATTTATGATTAAAAATTGTCAACTTACTTTTTGGTTAAATTTTATTTTATTTTATACCTTTCATTTAGAAATAAAGTATTTCCAATAATAAACTAACTATTGCAAATAATGTTATATCTTTCATTTTTAATCTAAACAATTTACATATATTGTATTTTATCTTTCTGTTTTTCTTTTTCTTTTTCTTTCTGTTACATCTAGATTTTTGCATACAATACTAAATTGATTATGTATAGATATAATTAATTATTGAAATGATTTATTTTTCACAATTAATCCAAACACACAATTTTTTACAAAAACACTGTTATAATTTTATGCACTCTTTGACATACACACATTCACTTTGATATTCACATGCTCTTTGAAACAATAAATTTAATTATAGATGAATATCATATGTGTCTTTGCTAGATAATATTGTTCCTTTTTTTAATGTTGGTCAACGACTCAGTCTGAAAAATCGCAATGGACTTAATTAATTTGAATTGAGTTTGATAGAACTAATTATATATAAGCCGTAATTTTATATTTAATATCTATACTATTTAATAATGTAAAATTTGATTGATTTAAATTCTGGTTTCAAGAATTTATTAAATAAATTAATTTTATAACATTTTATACAAAAATCAAACTAATAAATCAGTCATTACATTATTTTATTTTAATCTATATTATATTTTAAAAATATAATTAAATATCAAATTTTAAATATTATATTTATAAATATTTAAATTGTATAAAATTTGATATAAAATCATATAAGGTCATTGATCGGTTAGATCGATTAATTTTTATATTTTATAAAATATATATATATATATATATATATATATTATTCTTTTCACAAAACTCAATAAAAAAATTTAGACTAAATTCTCACTTTAGTCCCTGAGAGTTTGAGTTCAACATTTTAATGTCTGAGACTTTTAAAATGTTACGTTAATCCCTAATTTTTTTTTCCGTCATTCATTTTAGTCTTGAGCTCAAACTCCATTAAGAAACAGTAACAGAAGCTGAATTGTCTCGATAAGTGCTACATCAGAAGCTTAATTGGTAGAAATGATGTGATTTTGGGAAGTTAACATGGCACTTTAAATGACCAAACGACATCATTTTGATTGAAGTTTTTTTTTGCCTTTTCAGCACCATCTTGATTTGTGGCAGTACCTTGCTCAGTTGCTGGCTGAGATTCAACTGGAGGCCCTTCTTCCTCCCTTACAATCTCAAAAGTATCAATCAACTGTTGAATAGTTTCCCGATTCAAAATATGGAATGACTCACCAACTCCGACCACAACAACAGTGCATACAGAACTACTGAGCTTTTTACCTTACACAGACTCCCTAGTTGCAATAAGTGCATCTTTAATTAGATCTTCCTGTGAGGAGCTCGTGAAGTTCTCAAACTTGCATTCCAAATATGTCTTTTCAACTTGTGAGCGAGAGCCAATTGTAAAAGCTTGATAGTCAAAATAGTTTTCACTCGGATAGTTGTAATAGAGGTGAGCTCTAGATTCATATAATTCAGCTACCAGGAAACCAACCCCATAAGGACATTTCTATGATCGCTGGGTGCAAACTTGCCATTCAGAATTGTATCACAAATACTGATGAGAAAGAAATATTTTAAGTTCTAATAAATTCTACAAACACTTTCTTTCTTTATTATGTAATTCTGCAGATACAAACACAAGATTTGCCTACCATACCCCACCGATCCAACTTTCAACAACTAAATCACAAGCATGATTTTATACCATAAACATCAGTCTAAACTTCAACTTTATCCCACCTGTATAGTTAGATCCATCATCCCCAAAACATTGAACACTTAGGGTTTGTCATCCCCAAAATCCAAAATGACTTATAATGAATTCAGAATTTTATTTTTTTTACCAAATTTTCCATTTGTTGGCCCTTCTTTCATTATAACAAACTTTAATTTTTAAATATTTCACCGCCTAACATAACTATGAACAAACATTTGGGCGAGATTCTGCGTGCACTAGGCTTGTGCAAGATTTCACAATCCATTCGAAACTGGAGAAATCAAATATCCGAAACTGGAAGTTGGGTGGGTTAATGCATAACAGGTTAATTAAATATTATTTTTCAGTTATAAATGGATTGAGTCGGGCAAATATGGGTGATAATTTTATTAACCAACTTTATTCAACCCGACTGAATAAATACTATAATTTTATTAGAACTAACCAACCCATCACAAAATATGCTATTACACAACCCAAAATTTCCAACCCGGTTTATGTTACCCTAAAAATGAAAGAAAGAAACCTTACTTAGAAACAAGCTTTTTTCTGCGCCGTTGTGGTTTCAAAATCCTTTTCTTCCAAAAACCTTATCTTTGTCTTCTCTCTTGGATTTACGCAACAATTACACTTTTCTCTTCCAAAAACCATCTCTTGCCATCTTCTCTCTTACATTGCAACTATGTCATTCTCTTCCAAAAACCTTCTTATGCCTTTTTCGCTTATGCTTCTCCTGATCAGGTCCCCTCTTAGATCGTCTTTCCATTTATTATCATGTTACAGGTATGCTCAAATGAAAGATTTTGGAGATTTGTGTATTCTAGGTTAAGTAAGAAATAGTTTTTTTTTCTATTCTAGGCTAACTTGTCTTCTGTGTTATTTGTTAGTTATTAAATGTTGCTTCAGTATCAGCTTATTCTTGTCATGGTTATATGTTTTTTTCTTCATTATGTACAACTATTTGGGTGTGTTAATATTGAACAAGTTTCAATTTTGATGTGTTTTTTTTCCCTCTTTAAATGTCAAGGTGACTCATCTTTTGGGGGGGTTTTTGAGTTTTGGTGAGTTTTGCTTTCTCTTAGGTAGTGTTTGGATACCGTCCTAGACACCGAAGACAAAGACATTGAGACAATGAAGGACAAAGACAGTAATGTTTGTGTTTGTGTTTGGAAGTGAGAACAGAATATGGTGTATTACGTCTTGTATTGTGCTTGGATATAAGACAATACATAATAAAAAATTAAAAATGACTACTCTACCCCTAACTCTTTTATAATAAACCTAACCTAAACCTAGTGTATGCTATTTTGGTTCCTGTGAAACTCGAATGGCTCCAAACGACTAGGGTTCTTCATCTCAGCCGTCACCTTGCTTCTTCATCAGCTTGCTTTGTCTAGCCATCGCCTCCAAATCTTCGTCATCTTGGTCGTGATTCTTTATTGCCTTCCTCACCTCCCCAACACTGTGCAACTTGTCATAGGTGTAACACCTTATATTTCTTTCCTCAATATATGATAAATTTTCAAAAAAATTAATATGGTAAAGTAAATTTTCCTTCAAAAACTTTCTAATAAGAAAAAGAGACATTGAAATGGTATAAAGTTCATAGAATAAAATTTCATTAATTCATAAGTACTTTAGAAAAATAAAGATTCTAGAATTTTCATCAGCAACAAAAAGAAATAGTAGTTTTACAACTGTTT